AAAAAACAACTTATATTTCTTATAATATATTCTATTTTATACTATGTAAGTTTTTAATGTTTCTATACTATCAAAGAAATTATAATTATTATTTTAATTCGTATTTATTTTGCTTCAAAATGACCTAATCCTAATTACAAGTCAAGAAATAAAATTTATATTATTGTAACTATAATTACATATTTGTTGTTTGTATAATTAGATATTGTAAATACTAATAAAAAAGAAGCTTAATATTATTACGAAAAAAATAACTTATAAAGGAAAATTCACCACTTTACAAGGCATGTTCACCCCACCTAAATTTTTTATAAATTATTTAAATTATAAAAATTTTCAGTTAGATTATATTTTTTAATATATACTTAGATTTGTTACGCTATTCAAAAAATATTCTGTAGTGGTATAAACTGCTTTTTTCAATGAGTACATATTTTTTTAAATAGATTTGTTATTTTTTTGAAAGTGTTGATACATCAAAATCAAAATATTATTAAGGAATTTTTATATTATTGAACTGTATTTACTAAGGTGTAAATTTTACTTCTTTTTGAGATTTTATATTTAGTGTAGTCCACGGCTAAAAGTTTAGTTTTAGGCGGAGCCATGATCGTTTTAAAATTATGAATGATTAATACATTAATATTAATATATTCGCATTTTATTTTTTATTTTTTTAATATGTAAAAACAATAGGTATTACAATAAATATAATATATTTTATATATACATATTTTGTGGAAAACCGTTATTTATCATTGATGTTGAATAACTCTGAAACTACTCGTTCGTACTTTTATTTAGATGCATATCTTAAACATTTTCATTAACATTTTTGCTTATCAATTTTTTCTCAAAAAAGGATGGTTCTCATTGAATAAACTAAGCTTGTAGTACCATAGCCTAAAGGACAATTTTTGAATAACCTAAAAATATCAATTTTAACAAATGCACTATAAAGAAATAAAATCGAGTTAGTTATGTTAATGATAATAACTATAATATAACTTATAAATATAACAAAAGAAACTACTTCTACAATGTAGATACGTCAAAAGTTCAGGCAAAATAACAGAAATATGAAACTCACAAATAGGTACTTAAAACATGACACAAGTTTATATATTTAACTTGACTTCATAAGAAACGATGCACTAGACAGATACACAATGTTAAGATAAACATTTAAGTGGGTTTTAAAATTGCTTTTTATGATTCATACTTTTTAAAATAAAATAAAAGTGATAATAACATATTAATAGAGAAATTAATACTAGGCATAGTCAATGGCGTATTTACGGGGAAGGATCAAGAGAATAAATCTCCCCCCCCCATAGGCTGTATACACACAAATAATAATAGTTATCATATTATTTAAAAAATGATTATTATTTTATTTTTTTTTTTTTTTTTTATCAATAGTTGATTAAATTTGCAAGAATTAAAATATTATAATATATTGTACAATATTCTCATTGGTATCTTCGTTTATAAAATCATATCTCCCTCGCCCAATGACAAAAATTTTAATACGCCACTGGCATAGTTACCAGACAGACATTATTTCACTCTACATATAGTTAAGACCATTGAAAAATTATAATTGCATAAGTTAAAAGAATTCTTTTACAATATTAGTAAAAGGTGTAACTTTTTACCCAAATAGCTCGATAAGGTAGTGAAATTGGAAAAACTCCAAGAGATTTCTTTCATTGAAAAAAACAATTACTATTTCTGTTAAAAATTAATGATTTGCATTTACACTTCAATAGAGTTTTTAATAAATATTCAATAGAAATTATTTAAAAATATTTTTTTATGATATTAAAATATGAATGTAAAATATATAAAATTAATCATATGTTTATCATAAACACGTAAAAATCAATTTTCTAAAATTTATTCTTAACACATTAAATATTCATGAATATATTGGTTTTATGTAGCCATATAAATGTATTATAACTATATTTGGAAAACTAATATTATATATATTATTAACTTAAGTATGAATACTTATTATGTGAACGTGGCCCAATTAGGAAAAACTGTCATTATATTTTAAAATGAGAATAAAAACTAAATTATTTATTTATTGAATTACTCCAATATATACTTACATACTAAAAGAAAAAAAATTAAGATTATTTTAATTTTATAATATTTTAATAGATTCACAAGGTGTGAAAGTAAATACAATTAATTTTAAAAAGACAAATTATTTCCTAAAATCTTGAATATAAAAACAATTATTATTATTATGAACAAACAAATAAAAATATTGCATTGCTTTTTAAAAGTAATAAGCAAATTTAGTCATATAATAAATAGGTAGTTCTTAAAATATGATTTTTTTAGCTATAAAAAACAATAATAATTATATTACTGATATTATTAAAGTTTACATTCAATTATTTATTTGGGATTAATTACTTTTATAAATTTAATTAGTTAGATGTATTAATTATTACTGTCAAATGAAAATTATTTCTAAAATATAGTATTATAGTAAAATCCATTTTAGTATTTAAGTATACAACAAAGAATTTATATAAAAAAGTAAAAATAAATAACATTTTTAAATCCTTACAGTAATTTACTTTAGAAACAAAGAACATGATTTAATGTTTTATATATTTTTTCATGTAAAACAATTTAACGACTATAGTTCTCCTCCATTGATAATTTAATTTAAAGCAAAATATACAAATTTGTAACAAGAATTGTTATTATTATTATTAAAATACGTTTCCTGTAAACACATTTTGTTTTAACAAAAATAGAAATTTCAAAACAGTTTTACAATTTTTCTCTCAAAAGTAACACAGGTATTTTAATCATAAATCCGTTAGAATGTACAATATCGGTATTACTTTTATCAGATATGTAAAAAGACGAATAATTTTTAATTTATTTCTTAGCACGAAATACAATTTTTTTCGCGATGTTAACATTTAAATCTTATCATCGTGAATATTGCTTATGGGTTTAGTAGATTAAATCATATATTTATATGTTAATATAATTTAGTTATCGCACTGCAAAGAAACAACTATTATTGTTTTATTGTTCAGTGGTATTTTTTGAGTGAAATACTTTTTTTCTTTAATCACATTTAAAATGTTTATTATTTGTTTCCCTGTGGACAATTAACACGCTAATCATTGTTAAAGTAAATAATACTTCGCTTTAACATTTTTAACATAACTTGACGATCAATTAATTTTTACCATAATGGTTTTTATATGATACCATTAATGTGAAGAATTCAGCGTTATGCATGATAAAGCTGTACACTTAATAATATTATGATTAATAAAAAAAAAAAAAAAAAAAAAACGTACATTTTACCAATGTTTTTTTTTACTAAACAAATATTTTTACTGTTATTAAAATTGAGTTCATATTTTGAATGATTTTAATTTAACAATCATAATAACTATTATTTCGATAATCTTTATGGCACTATTCCATTTATACCTACTTATAGGTTATTCTTTATTTAGTTTGTTTATACATTTTAAAAAGGTGAACATGATTGATTAATATTTTTGTTTCTTAGATATTTCTATGATTTGAATTTGAAAAATATTCTTAAATTCTTAATACATGTATACACTTATATCACATTTAATACATTTATATTTAATAATATATTTTTTTGTTTTGTTATTATAAATAATTAATAATTAAAAATTATTAATAATAAAATGAAAACATAGTTTGATATTGAGTTTATGATTTTTATACAAATTGTATTGTTTATTTTTTGAATTTATTTTCTGAATGAAATAAGTAGTTTATTATTTATGAATGAATAATGAAAAGTTTCTTTTATTATGATATATTTTAGAAGTATGTTAGGTAGGTTGGAAAAAATGGAAAAAATATATTTATAATATTATTTATACGTATATACATTTAATAAAAATGTTGGGAAAATAATAAATTGAATACGTCTTAGTATATATTATTGAATATTAAAAAATATTATAGCTATTTAAAATAAAACTAATAAAATATTTATCAACATTAAAAAAATATATTAGCCTGTAAATAGCAAGAAGAAAATAACTCTGTATATGCATAGTGTCATAAAATATCAGGCAATATACATTAATGAGGACAATACATTGTCCGTTAAAGATGTCAATGCTAAAAGAGTAGATGTAAAGATTAGAAAATACAAGCATTTAAAAGTCTGAAAAAAAGATAATCTATCAAGAAGTTTGTTAAGTTACTTGGCCACATTATTTTACTGAAAGTGTTTTAGGGAGGCAAACGAATCAGAAATACAGTGTATTCATGAACTAAAAATAAAAAAAATAAGAGAGAACCCAATTTTATCACCAAGATAAACAGGAACCATATAAAAGATCAAAGAACAGCAATAAGTCGACCAATTAACAAAATTTATTGCAATAAGGTAGGACTCATAGAGCAGTAATGGGAAATTCAGAGAAATATAAACGAAGTTAAACATGAACTTTTACTCATTATTATAAAAGAAATAATGATACTTATGAAGTTAATTTAATATTTAGTAAATTCATTGTCATTTTACATTTTTACGTAATATTTAGTCAACCAAAGAAAAAAATGTGTTATAATAAATATTTATCATCTAACATATACACACACCACATATTATGCTTTATTTGTATTATTTTGATAATTTGATCATTGATATTTCAAATAATTTAATAAATAATATGTGCAATTTATTAATAATTGGGTATATATCAGTTATGTATTATGTAATACATAAACTGACAAACATTATTTTTTTACTGAACCCAAGGCTAATACTTAAATTATAAGAATTATTTATAATTTTTAATAATGTTAAAAAATAAATTTAATTTTTCATTTATTATTAACATTGACCATATAAACCAAAACATTGAAATAATATTCAATGATGTATATATCAAATACATGTATATAGACTATTACTATGATAATAGTTAATCATTATATAATATATTAACATTACTAACCTCGGTGTTATGTCTTGAGAGTAAAACACGGCGGGAACATTCATCAAGTCACGCAAAATTTCTGACATTTTTGAATATAGGTAACCCATAGAAACTAACGGAATCAAGTATCTGAAAAAAAATATTAAAAATAAATAAATAAACAATACTACATTGTGAAATAATGAAATATGTTTTGTAAACAATATAATATCTTCAAGTAGGTACATTTATTTGATATATGAAAATAATATAGATATGGTTGTGCTAGTTCTATATTGAAAAAGACAATAACACAGTTGTGATTACTTTTACTTAACCAGGATTAAAGATAATGCATACATTTAATTTAGGATTGAAAAAGATTGTTTATTTTATTTTTCATTTAGCGTATAAATACAGTTTTAATAAAACATTTTGTTAAATATGAGTTGTAGTTGTGTGGCTTTTAATCCTTAAAGTTATATTTCTAAAATACAGTTAGTTACTTTATTTTTAATAAAACTTTTCTTTGATAATTTATAAGCTTTTTAACAATTTTGACTCAAACCACATATACATTTTGTATTTATTTATGTACATTTATCTTGATTTTGATTTAATATAAATGGACACTTTAATTACTTCAAACAGAGATAATTTCAAATTTCACGAGTATAGGCAATTAAAAAAAAAAAATTTTCATTTTCATTGTAGTAATAATTTTTTTAATTTATTAACTAGTCTAATAATTTAGAACACGACTATTTCTGATGTTCTGATCAGATTGTAAAAATGGAAGTCATAAAAAGCTTATTCAATGAAAGATAGAAAATAATTTTCAAAGTGCTCGTAATATTACAAAAGTTAAAAATTAATTAAATCTACCAATATGATACGATATTATGATTAGATAAAATGCCCTGAGCTTTATTAAGGGTGAATAGAAATATTGTATGAATATAATAAATTTGATTATCAGTAATCACTAATTCGAAAATTTAGAACTTTGCTAGTTGAATTACATTCTAAATGTGGTTCAATTTCTTTGAAAAAAACTTTTCATTTTTCATGAACTGTGCGCAAATGAGTTTTAGCCAAAACTTTTTGTAAGTATAATTTTGGTAAATATTTAATAAATAATTATTTTAATTTAATATTACTTTATTAAATTAATTTATGTGTTAGGTATAGAATAGTTACGTAATATTATATTATACTCCATTACCGTGTACCCAAATTAAATGTGTTTACGACTATTTTATTCCACTTCATATTTTTTTGTAATTTGATTATGTACATATATAAAACTAATAGGTACTATCCATTTCAGTTACTAACTTGTTTTTGAGATATTCAATACAGCAGACTTATGATAAAAATTTAAACTTCTTATTGCAATAGCATAAATACATTTTTTTTTTAATAAATTATCATATTATGTATAAATTAACGATACAATAGAGTTTTTTTTAATTTTTTGTAAGTCCGAGTTCAAATCATTGTTACAAACATTATATCAATCAATTCTTGAAGTTGCAAGTGAATTAGCACTAATGTGTGTGTTTGAATAAAAAAAAGAACATTGCGTATATAATTCAATTTATCTACAACAGTAGGTACTTGATATTAACCACTGATTGGTTTGATGTTTGTTGTGACACACTAAACAACAATTATTTATTAATTTACAAGTTGCGGGTTAAGTTGCCCTCATCAATATAATATTATTACAGCATAGTTAGTCAACCGTGCATGAGATATCTGTAAAATCCAGTATACGCGTTTACGACGGTAAACTATCATTCTAGAAAATGATTAATGCATTGTATGTATTTCGAATTTTAGGACGAACTCTGTTTTCGACACCTATTAAATTATCCCGAATTCGTACATACACGAATACATTATTTATTAATATTTAGTATAAAATAGATATTTTCATCTAATAATTGATACATGTGAATAAATATATACACTATACCAGCGTTTCTCAACCCCTTTACTGTGATGACCCCCTTTTTGAATTTCGATTTTTAGCGACTACTTACATTTATTTTTTTTATATACTCGCATAGATTATTATTAATTACTATAATAGTACTATACATAATACAGTGTTTTGTATTTATTAATTTTTTTTTTCATTACTTTATTTTATTATTTGAACTTTTAAATTTTTGAATTTTTGTATTTGAATTTTAAATCTTAGGTTAACGACTCTAATTAATAAATTGGTGACCCCCAGGTTGAGAAACTCTGCACTATACAACAATAAAGTAACAATATTTCGTAAAATACTTAAACGTAAATTCGTAATTAATATTATAATGTTTAATTGCCAAGTTTCGTCACCAAGAAGCATATTATTCGCTATGTGAATTTAAAACAGATTGAATTGACAAGACTAACTAATTTGAAATTTTAATTTAAAATTATGCAAACAAATATTTCCACGAATGATAAATCATTTTGAAAATTTGAGTTCATTAGTGGTACTTTTGTATTTTATTAGAAATAAATATCCTACAATTGCACAGAATTAGAACTGCTGAACGCAAATCGATTATGACAGAGACAACATATACGGAAGCGGCATCCTATTAATGTCTACATAGTCACATAGATTAGTAAGTTTTGTTATTTATTAAACCTACTTTAAATTAACATTTGTACAATTGTGTAAAAACATATTCAATGTTAAATTTTAACTGTAATGCTAATAAAAAAGCTTACATTTATTTTATTATGATCCCATGAAAATAAAACGTCGTTAGTTAATTTTAGAACCTTAAGATGTATTGAAATAAATTAAATAGTTTTTGCTGTATAAATTAGTTATTTTATTTAGATTAAAATAATAATATTTAAAAATGTGTTGTTTATTTTTTAGCTTTATTTATAATGGATATTTTAATCACTTTAACTTATTGATACATTTTCTACTCTTATTTTAATTTTATAAATTACTAAATTTAATTTTGGGTGTAAATTAAACATAATATATATAAATACTCATTATACACTACAAGTTAGTGACTTGTAATATAGTATAGTAACATAAAACAACAAAAGTTTTCATGTTATACCTTAAGAGTAAAATCTATATGCCAATTAATTGTTTCTTTTTCAGTGAACAGATACACTTTGTTTAACTATAATAATTTTAGCATTTGAGTTTTTTAAAAAGCAAAACGGCAAGTATTACATTTAAAATTATTAATTTAGAAATGTATTAAATTAAGCTCTAATTGTATTCAAAGTAATACTTAGACTTAAGAACACGTCAAAAATAAAATATATAAGCTTGTAACAACGAAGACTGAATTGCATCATGTTAGTTAAACATGATTTAAAAAACAAAACAAAATTAATTAAAAATAAGTAAAATTAACTGTGATCTGTATAACTCACTTAAAAAGTTTAAATTTAATGTCAAAATAATGTAAATTATAATTTCTGCAATACAATTATTTTTGTGTAGATTAATAATAACATTTTCTTGCAAAAAAACAAAATCTTTAAAATAAATTAAGCCACACGTGATTTCTCGTGAAATTACATATGCGTAATAAGTGATAATCTTTAAAAATCTACCGTGAAAAACATTTTTACCTGGTATTGCAATAAATTATGCTACATATAGATGATGAATGTGTTTGCATATTGAATATAGCCATCAATGAGTACTCTGTGAGTCATGCGATATAAGTGACGTATAAGTCCTAAGAAAATATACTTTGATAAACTTTATAAAAAATGTTTACAAAAAGACAATTAATTATAGGCACATTTAATAATATATAAAAGAACACATTAAACTATAACGTAAATTTAAATATAAAAATTCTAAACGTTATGATTCATTTAAACAACACTTTTAAAATTAATTTGTTATTTTGGCGTGTAAATTGTTGTCAACACTCTACGAATAAAAGTATTATAATCAATTTTGTTTTAAAATTGCGTTCCTAACACACTCAAAATGCTACGGCACACACTCGAAAAGTGTATTCTGTTCTACCTCATTTTTTATGTTTAGATAATTTAAAATAGAATTATATGCGTCGCATAAGGTTTATTTATTTTATTTTTATAGTTTTTAGGTTTTATGTATTTTGTGTACAATAGTGGAAACGCATGCACGCAATTTGATTACAAATTAAATTAAATTTATTTCAGAACTTAAACATCAATCACATAAACGACGAAAAAAAAAAAACATTTTAGGTACTTTAAAGACTTTGTAGACTTTTTATTATGTAAATCATAATATAGCATTCTAGTTTTTGAGTAAGTTTTATAAAATAAATGTTATTTATTTCAAAAAATCAATAACTTTACACTATAATCTTTTTTGTGACATTTTACTTAATACACTCAATAGTTTTTTTTAAATGTAAAATTTTCAACAAAAAGTAATTTAGCCTACTAATAGTAAAATAAATAACTTTAATAAAAATATGAATATATTACAAAATATACTTAGTTGTATAGGTTGATAGACCGTCATTGTTTAGAATCATTTTTCGTATGCAATGATTTATTAAAGAATTTAAAAAAACTTGTTTTATAAATTTTCTCCTCAATTACGAGATACGCTCAACGCCTATAAGAACAGAGACCGGATTCCTTTTTCCCCTAACTTTTTTTTTATCATATTGAATTTTGTATGTTTCTAAACGAAAATAAAGTTAAAAAAATGATTTACTACTAAAAACGTAGAATAGTTATGGCAATCTATATTTTCTCTTTCTAACCCAATAATTGGATCTTCTTTTGAAATTTTAGAAATTGGTTACCTTTTCCTTAAAGAACAGCTGATCAGGACATCCTTTTCTTTATTACGACTAAAAATTCATTATTTATATAGAGAATAAAAGATGAAAGTCATAGTGACTATTAATGTTATTTGAACCGTGTTCAATCTCTGATTAAAGTTATATGTTTCGACTAATAGATAAAATTATATACTTCCAGACAAGCATTTTGTTTAAACGATGTTTTGAATTTTGCTGCTAAAAATATCAAGTCTTCAGATGCTTATTATAACAAAATTAATTTTAATTACGTTTATTCGAGATAATATTATTATCACTGAAAGCATACAATTTAAAGATAATAAAATAGAGTCATTTAAAATAATTTTTAGG